AACCTGATGTAATGGACATATTAGCAAATTATCATGTGTTGTTTGAGCACACTAGAAGCTGGCTCTGGAAGTGGAGTTGCCCCTGTCCCCCATTTTAGATCCAAGCATATCTGTTTATCTCAAAGTGTGCTCCAAAGTCTGGGGATGGGCTGTCCCCTCAACTCTGTAACAGCAAGGGAAGAAAACGGCATAACAGCCCAAAAGTTCAAACACTGTGCCCTTGAAAACAGTCAGAAGGTAAACTCTTTCTAAGAGATGTCACTATCATTTATCCTATAATACAGAAGTGTCTGCAGTGGGAAAGAGAAGCTGGAAGTTTAGCCATGAGAAGTTCATCCATGGAGAGAAAGTCTAACCAGGAACTCCAGCTAACTGCCTCAACTTCCCTAGTCAGTCTCTGCTGGGTGTTATGAGGGCCTGATTTATTTAATCTTATCTCTATCTGTTATTTGTTAGTTTATTTGGAAGCCTCACCCAAGAGGACACTCTGCTCTGCTCAGAACTCTCTTAACTGGGAACCCGAGCCAGCTGCCTTAAAGGGACTTCTCTGGTTAACTTCTGCTGGGTCTGTGAGACTTCAATTTGACAACGCTACCTTTCTACTGTCGTTTTTGTTCTTTGACTTGGAAGTCTCACTTGAGGGGATGCTCTGCTCTGCTGGGGAGTCTCAGTTTGGGAACTCCAGCAGGCTACCTACCTTCAAGGGACTTCCTCAGTCAGTTTCTGCTAGATGATTTGAGTACTCAATTTGATGATCTCCCTCTCCTTCCCCCGCCCCCATAAACTTAAAGAGAAAATATGGCTATTACAATAGCCATTCCCGAACTGTACAAAACACCTGGCCACAAGGAAAGTCTTGGGAGGGATTACCCTTTTTAGGCATTCCCCTAGTTTGTGCAAGACAACAACCAATGCAGATTTGGGACAAACTGGGGCTTGGATCACTCCCTAGTGTTAAAACAGTGACAACATTGGGACTTGTGGCAAGCCTAGACTTGGGGTGCTATCTATAGTGATGAAATAGCAAGAGTGGCCATAAATTCAGAAAAAATATGAAGATTGCTTAGAATTTCTGGAAAGATAAGCACAAAGCCAGATTATGAAGACAAGAATGCCTAAGACTGAAAAACCCCTAGTCAAACTAACCAAAAGAGATAGAAGACACAAATTAATTAAATTAGAGATGAAAGGGGGAATATTATAATAGACCCCAGTAAAATTTAGATCATCAAGGAATACTTTGAAAACTTATATTCCAATGAGCTAGAAAATCCAGAATGGGTAAGTTTCTAAATATACATAACCTACTGAAATCAAAGTCAGAAGACATAAACAATTTAAGCATACCCACAACAAGCAATGAGATTGAAGAGTTAAAAATCTCCCTACAAAGAAAAGCCCAGCGCCAGGATTTACTACTGAATTCTACCAAACCTTTAAGGAAAGTCTAATACCAGCACTTCTCAAACTGTTCCACAAAATAGAAAGGAAAATTACTAAACTCATTCTACAAAGCCAGTATAACTGATACCAAACCCAGATAAAGACATAATAACAAACAAAAAAACAAGGCTACAGATCAATCTCCCTGATGAATAGAGATGTAAAAATTTTCCACAAAATACTTGCAAGAGCACAGAAAGACAATCATACATCACAGCTAAGCTGGTTTCATCCCAGGCATACAAAGTTGGCTCAACACACTGAAATCAATAAGTGAAATACACATTAATACGTCTACTAATACACTTTAGGACCAAAATCTCAAGACCACCTCTATAGATGTAGAAAAGGCACTTAATGCAATATGCCTTCATGACGAAGTACTGAAGAAACTACACTGTCCACCTGCAGAGCATCCATATCTCTCTGTACAAAACTCAAACTGGATAAAAGACTTGAAAACTTAAAACCTGAAATGCTGAAACTGCTTAAGGAAAACGGGAAACATTTTATGATACGCGTATAAGCAAAAATCTTCTGAATAGAACCCCAATAGCATAGGAAACAGCCCCCAAGAACTGACAAATAAGACTACATGAAATTAAAATGTTCCTGCATAGCAAAAGAAACTATCAACAGAGTAAACAGACAACCTATAAAATGGGAAAAAATCCTTGCCAGCTACACTTTAGACAAGGGTTAATAATCTAGAATATAATATATGAAGAACTGCAAAAATTAACAACTAACCCCTTCCCTCAAAACTGCCAAACAATACATGGGACAATGGACAGTTCTCAAAAGAAGTAATACAAATGGCCAGTAAAAAATTTTTTTAAGTGTCCAGCATCCTTAGCTATCAGATCAATGCAAATGAAAACCACTTTGAGATTCCAACTCACCTTAGTCAGAATGGCTGTCATCAATACAAATGGCTAGGGACTGGAGAGACAGCTCAGCAGTTAAGGGCACTTGCCTGCTCTTGCAGAAGACCAGGGTTCAATTCCCAGCACCCACATGGTGGCTACCAACCATCCATAACTCCAATTCCCAGGGGATCTGATGCCCTCTTCTGTCCTCCATGGGCACTGCATGACATGGGTGCACTTACACACATGCAGACAATACATTCATACACATAAGATAAAAATAAATCAAAAAAAATTTTTTTAAATACAAATAACAAATGCTGGTAGGACGTGGGGAAAGGAGACCTTAGTCACTACTGCTGGGAATGTAAACTCATGCAACCACTATGGAAAATCCCAAAAATTCTATATCCTGTTACAGAGACATTTGCATACCTATATTTATTGCTGCTCTTTTCACAACAGTAAAGAAATTGAATTAGCCTAGACATCCATCAACAGATGACTAGAAAATGAAAATGTGGTTAATACACACAATGGAATTTTGTTCAGCCATTAAGAAAAATGAAATTTGCAGGAAAATGAATGGAACTGGGAAATACTGAGGTAACCAAGGCTCAGAAAGACATTGCATGTTCTCATTCATATGCAGATTCTGGCTTCTAATTATTGCAAGGTATATCTATGTGGGAATAAGTATGGATAAAGGCCAGGAAACTAGGACTGTGTTCATGCAATGAGAAAAAGAGGCTTTAATGGAAAGGCATAAGGAGGGTAATAGAACACACACAATATAAGTGGAAGGGGGACTACTAGAGGCAGAAGGTGTAGTGAGGATGGAGGCTACAGAGATGGAAGAGAAGGGGGAATGAAACCAAAACCAAGTACACGTGAGAATAACATAAGCAGCCAGGCATGGGGGTGCACACCTGTAATGCCAACACTCGGGAGGCAGAGGCCGGTGGATCTCGGCCAGCTTGGTCTAAATAGCCAGTTCTAGACCAGCTGAAGCTACAGAGAAACCCTGTCTCAAAAAAAAAAAGAACATGAGAACCTGTTACTTTGTTAATTAAAAATTAAAGATTAATGGGCTGGGGATACAACTCAGTGGGTAAAATGATTACTGTGCTAGGGTAAGGAGCTGAGCTCAGATCCCCAGCACACATAAAAAGCCAGGCACAGTGGCACACATCTGTAACCCCAGTGCTATGGAGGCAGAGACAGCAGATCTTATGGGCTTGCTGGTCAGTCAGCCAAAGCTGAAACAGCAGCTCCAGACTCAGTGAGAAATCATCTCAAAAAATTAGGTGGAGGGCTGGAAAGACGACTCAGCAGTTAAGACTATGTACTGCTCCTCCAGAGGACACAAGTTTGGATCCCAACACCCACGTCAAGCAGCTCTGGGGGAATCTGACTCCTTGGGGCCTCTGCATGCACCTGCAATCAAATGTACATACCCACAGATAGACACACAGAATTTTAAAAATAAACCTTTAAAAAAAAACAAGATAGAGAACAACAGAGGACGATACCTGACACTGACCTCTGACCTCCACATGTACATGCACAGGCATGTGCACACACATCCCTCCACACACACAAAATTAAAAATTTTAACTTTAAGAGTTTGAAGCCAGCCAAGCATGCAAAGACTCTGTCTCAAACAAACAATTTCAACAACTAAAAAACTAATCTCACAGAAGTCAGAGTGAAACAGTGGTTATCATAGACTGGGGAGAGGGGCAAAAAGAGATGGGGAGAGGGGCAAAAGAGATAAGGCAAGCAATCAATGAGCACTGGTATGAAATTCTGCTGGGAATGTAAACTCATGCAACCACTATGGAAAATCCTGTGCTATACACAAAAGGGTGATTATAAGTGAGGATGATGTACTACTGCACATAGCAGAATGTTAAGATTCTGAGTGTTTTCATCATGAAGAAATGACAAATATTTGAGGAGGTATGTTTAACCTAAGATGGTAGATAACATACAGATCTGAAAACAATGCAAGGTGCCTTCTAACATGTACAAATTTTGTTTTATGTATCAGTTTAAAATGTCCAATTAAAAATATTAATAGAAAAAGAAATGGGGATGGTGGCACACACCTATAATTCCAGCACTTGGGAAGTAAAGGCAGGAGGATCAGGAGTGCCAGGTTATCCTTAGATACATAACAAGTCCAAGGCCAGCTACATGAAACCCCTTCTACAAAAGACAAAAGCAAAGATTTTAAAAAGGTCACACAAAATAGGACATAACTTAAACTTGGATGGATATATTAATATTACTAATTATAATACTAATGGCAATATCATTTTGCTTATTTAAAATTTAAAAAAAAAATTCTGGTCTTTTTGAGATAGGGTCTCTCTGTAGCCCAGCTGGCCTGGAACTCACTATGTAGACCAGGCTGAAAAAAATTATTAATCAGAAACAAAACTGCTTCTTGTCCTGGATGCTGTCTTCTTAGAAGTTCAAAGCATAGCAAGGTTAAGGCCAGAATGACAGAGAAGGACCATTAGAGGGAGGGAGGAGAGACAGAACATATGGGACATCAAAGTGGAGGAATACTGGGAAGAAAAAGGTCTAAACAGGAAGAGGAGTTGGATAGACAAGGAAGGGGGCAGGGATAACCAAAATTCAAAACTAAGTAAGGACATATAAAAAAGCTACATGGAAACCTACCATTTTATAAATTTATTAAAATATGTAATTTTTAAAAAAGAGTTTGAATGGAGGCACCCTCCCATGGATGGATAATGCTCCTCCCAGAAGCCATGGTTATTAAATGAAAACCTCAGTACCAGGTATAAGGCATCTTTCCACAAGTTCCCAGTACTAGAAGGTGCTGCTGGAAGAGAAAACTCATCAACAATCATACCTGTGAGACAATAATGACGTGCCAGGCAAGATATGCCCTCCAGTGTGATCGAGGCATGACTGCTATGGGAGTAACCAAGCACTTTAGATTTGAGGACTGCTCCACGGGAAGGAATTCATGCCAGGTCCTGTAAACCTCCTCAAGAACCTGTAAGGCGAATCACAGGCCCCAGGGGAAACCTACAGCTTTGTATTGTTTTGTCCAATGGTCATATTGTCTGCCTTCTAAATACTCATGTTCATACCCATTTATTACTCCCGAGCCCAGACATCATCGAGAAGCTTCTTATTGCAGCAGGTGGCTGTTAATGCAGAAGCCCCAACTGGCCACCAAAGTATTCAAGCAAGAAACTCTATTAAACTCAGTGGGTAACACACAAAAAGAAAACATGAAAGGAGAAAGGGACTTGTTAAGAAGGACTCCAAGGGGAGAGAGATGGGAATAGATGGGGGTTTGGAGAGTGAAAATGACTAGAATTCATTACATAAATATATGAAACTCTCACACAACTTTTCAAAATTTTAAACACATCAATTACTAGTTCTGGAAAAGCAACTGTAACTATATATTTTTCTATCCTGCCCAGAACCACCTAGAAATAACAGCAATCACAAGATAGCCTACATTTACAGTGAGTAAGGTAAGGAAATGAAGGAAGTCTATTATTAGCTTGATGTCCTAGGATAATTTTCCAGGACACCATCAATCCTGAATTTAAGGATAATGAAGCATTTTTAAACAGCTTACTTCTAGAGTTTGAAGTGGTAATTATGGAAATATAAAGCCTACCCACTAAATCAATTAGAAAGCTTTTTCCATTGTGGCTGCCCACACACACATACATACACAATTTCAAGCTAATAAATTTGTGTTCTAACTGAGGCAGTTAAAGCACTGAGGTATTCCTCCCTGGAGTCAAACTCATGGATTAACATAATGGAATATGGATTCAAGTACACAGATCAATACAATGAAATACATCCAGCCCTTTCATTCACCATTTTACATTCATACTCTACTTGGGTCCAGATGTATAGATACCATTAAGAAATACAGATCAGGTTTAATGATTATTATTATTGCATTGAAAGACATGACTTTTGTTCCATTTAAGTCTGTCTGCTCATATAGATAATAAGGTTACCTGGCCTCCCATCCAAAACACTGTTAATCTGCATCCTCAAACCTTCACAAAACAGACCTGTGTAACAAAATAACAAAAAGATACACATCGGATCAATTAGTGGCCAATCACTGATTTTTCAGGTCAAAAGGTCTTTATAACCAGGAAGAGCATATTGAAAGAAAAGAATGGGGCAACTGATACTGTTTTGACCCAAATTTTCCCAGAGTTATCTTTCTTTAAAGAGTAAAATTAATCTGCTGCCAAGATCCACAGGGCAGAAAGTATTTCAGCCGAACTTCCACCACTTTTTCCTGCAAGGATCACAACCATCTTTTGGAATCCTATGCAGCAAATCTCCTTTCCTGCACTGAAAAAGCAAAAACAGCTGAGAACAAATCTCAGCAGGCACTCCTTGTATCCCAGAAGAATCAGAACTTACAGTTCGAATGCTTCTCTGTAAGAAGCTAGGATTTCATTTAATAAAAATTCAACTCTAAGGGAAAGATAGTAAAGTCATCCACTCACAATCTCAGGCCACCTTAGGCAGCTAGGTTAAGCAAGAGAGGTTTATTTTTAATCCTGTCCTGGCCCAAATCTGATCACTTAAGAAATCTCTAAGATCACAGTGGTGCCGAAGACCCTCTCTAGGATGGCAACAAGTGGTAGGCTGCTTCCCTAGAACCAAAGTTCCTAGTTCCAGGATGAACTCACCATTCCACAGCCCTCTGGACTAGTGGGTAACTGGACAACCTGACACTATTTCCAACTTTATGGTCTCCTTCCAGTTTGGCTTGATGTCCCCAGAGAATTGGGGCAAAAGTGGACCAGACTCAGACTGAGATGAGATGGAATAAATACACAGTCATTGTGCATATTCAGAACTTAGATGTACTCCTCTGGGAGTCACATTTAGTCCCAGCTCTGGGCTAGGAGCATAATATTAAAATATCTTATTTTTAGAGATTCTCACCACTTCCTTAGCTTTTGTACCTCTCAGTCCCAACTCTCTCCACATACACACCACCAGAAGATGCTGTCCCAACACTTGCAGCATCCCTAGAATCCAAGGATAAAGTAGCATTAATGGCACTTGGCAGAAAATCCCATCCCACTTTGAACTGCTCTGAACTCAACATAGTGAAGAAATAAATGAGAATGTAAGAGAAGCAGCAGAAATCAGAGCTTGCCCTTCCCGCATAAAAGAGGCACAGAGATTTCAGAAGTCAGTGAAAAGGTATCATCTCTTGCCAGAAGGCCACCAGCTCCCACCACTTGGGAGCCTCATTATCACTTTTTTCTCCTCAGGACTGAAGTGTAAGATAGTCAGTATAGCTGTGAGTGTCTGCTGGCGACCGAGGCTGTCTGGCAAGGTCAGGAAGCGGTAGATAATGTTTTTGAGATACTCCAGGTTGGCTCCCTCCCTACTCTGGTCCCTGATGTTCTTTTCGATGTGGCTCTGCAGGACTCCAACTTCCTCACGATGCCGCTCCCCCTCCTCCAGCAGTTTTTCTTGCAGCTGATGGGCCTCTACCTCCAGCCTGTGTTTCTGCTTCCTCAAGGATGTGATCTCCACTTCCTTGCGGGCCAACTGCTCAGCATACAGAAAGAAAGTGGGTTCGCTGGCTGCAGCAAGCTGCAGTGCTTGGGTTAGGCTATCTGAGGAAGATGGGTCAATAGGGTCCCCTGGACCTCCACCACCCATGCCACCCACGGGGCTTCTGTGTCCTGGCAGCCCAGAGGACAAGGCCACAGAACGCAGTTGCTCCAGCTCCAAGTCCTTCTCCGCAAGCACAGCCAGGGCCCGGTCTCGCTGCTTGTGCAGCTCCTCCTCTAGTTTCAGTGTGCGGTCCCGGAAGTCCACCTGGCTGCGCTCCAGTTCCTGCCGGTGGAGGTGCTGCAGCCGGGCAAGCTCTTGCTTCCAGTCCTCAGCCTCCTGCTGGTGCTGGCGCTCAAGCTCCTCACAGGATAGCCGCAAGGAGATGTACTTCTCCTTCAGCTCTGCAAGCTGTTCCTGCGCGGCCTCCAGCTCCTTGGCCAGGTTCCCATCCTTGGTATTCTTACTCTTGAGTACAACCTGGGCTCTCACCTTGTAGCGCTCAAACTCTTCCTTCAGCTGTTTCAGCTCCTGCTGGTAGTAGAGTGCAGTAGCCTTTTCCCCATCTGCAGCCTCAGAACTGTGCATTATCTCAGAGTCACAGAGCTTCTCCACATCCAGGGTCACCTGGCTTTTCCTAGCTGCCACCTGCAGCAGCCTCTTGAGCTTCTCCATCTTATCCTTCAAGACATTAACATCCAGACTGGACTCATCTCCATAACTGTCGAGAGGGGACCGGCTGGAGGCTGCAAGAGCCAGTGTCTTGTTCTCCAGGTCCAGCTGTAGGATGCGCTCCTTCAGCTTCTGGATGGCCAGCTGGTCCTTCTGCTTGGCTTTCTCATAGGTGCCCAGTAGTTCAGACACCTCAGATATTTGATTCTCTAGGGCTGCTACCCTTTGCTCTTCTATCTGAGAATGCTGGCGCAGCTGGTCCTCTGCAAGGGCTGTCTGTAAAACAAAGGAACATACAAAAATGCATCCAGAAAAGTCACAAAGCCCTATAGCCAACAGGGCTGGGAGTAGGGGTGGGGGGTAAGGGGGATGGGGGGGAGGCAAGGAAGCAAAAGGGTCATAAGATTGGGATGGCCTGGAAAGCTGGAACTGGGGATTTTTAATATGCAGTTCTCTGTGTATCTACTGTTTCTACTATAGTTTTCCATTTTCTACTGAGCATGAATATAAAGTATGTTCCTGTTAATCATGTGCTTCCCCAAATCCTATTAAGAAGTCAAGCAACATTCTTTTCACTTTCCAATATTCCTGGCAATACAAAAGCAAGTTGGATTTCTCTCTACTTTGAAAGGAGGCACTATAGAAACAGTAGTTTTCTAAAACAGGCAAACCTCAGCTGAGGGCAATGACAAGACAGTCTTCTGGGAATTGCCTCCCTCAGTCACTCTGCCTACTGGCACACACTTCTCAGTGGACACACTACCTTTCATTATACGGCTGTCATTACATTGCCTCACAGCACAATCAATAAGATGCCAACACCCACAGGCCTAGCCAGAGCTGGCTGGCTCAGACCCAGCCATACTGAGAAACTCCTCTTCCTGTTGGAAGGGCTCTGTACTGTAACACCACACAAAACAGGATTTCCCAGGACTCACCAACTGAATTTTTCAATATCAAACAGCAAAGTGCATGCTGGGAATGTGGCACAGAACTGTAATCCCAGCACTCAAGAAAGCTTGGGGTCAGCTCTGGCTATACCAAGACCCTGTCTAAAAAAAAAAAAAGCCAGCCTGGTGCCACATATTTTTAGTCCCAGCACTCAGGAGGCAGAGGCAGGCAGATCTCTGTAAGTTCTAGGCCAGCCAGGTAAGCCAGGATTACAGAATGTCTCAAAAATAAATACCTACCAAATGAAAAAAAAAACCTTAATATTTCCTACTTGAGTGTTAAGGAGATGAAGGCAGTTACCTTCCTCATTTCCTGTTGCAACTGGGCCTGGAAATGGCTTTTAAGACGGACAGCCTCTTCCTGAAGCTCCTGTAGCCGGGGATCCGGCCGGTTCTTCTCCTCTCGAATGGCCTGCAGCTCACCTTTCAGCTCCTCTACCTCACGGGTCAGCTGCTTGGTCTGCAATTCAAACCCTTCTATCTGATCAGCTGCATATGCTCGCCCTGCCAGGGCTTCTCTGGTCTCTTCTAACCGAAGCTCTACGTCCTGGCGCTGGGTCCTCTCCTCCTGCAACAGTTTCTGGAGCTCACGGAGCATCAAGGCATGGTCACTTTGCTCCTGTGCCCGATCATGCTGTTGTGTGATAAGTCGGGCTTTGGTTTCTGTTATCTGCTCCTGCAGCCCCTTCAATTCTCCCTCCAGACGGCCCCGCTCTTCCTCTGCCTTCTTATTGGCATCCTCCAAGTCCTGTTTCATCTTCTTCTTGTCAGCCAGGTAAGAGGCCTCCATACGGGACTTCTCTTGGGTGACTGTAGCCAAGGAGCTGGTCAAAGTAGCCAACTGAGTCTTCAGCTGATGTAATCTTTTGTCCATTTCACCACCCGCAGATGGCCCATCCCCACTGCTGCTGCTTACCCCACTCTCTGATCCACTGGCCTCTTCGGACTTTGGAGGTAATGGTCCACGGACCACTCTATCGTCTTCTACCCCAAACTCACCCTTGGTGCTGGTGAGACTGGCTGCAGTATCCAGGCTAGTGGCGGTCCCGGTGCTATCCTCGCTGTGTGTGGAGCATCGGTCATCCACTGAGTCAGGAAGGGTGAGACCTGGAGGCTGCACACCTGTGAGACCCACATCCGCCTCGTGGGATACAGACAGTACCTTGATGCTGGCCTCTAGGGCTTCCTTCTCTTTCAGCAGGCTTTTGTAAGCACGGACCACATCCTTGAGCCGTGCCTGGTACTGGAGAAGCTGCTTCTTCTGGGTCTCTATGGTCTCCAGCAGGTCCTTCTTGCTCGGGCCGCCCCCAAAATTCATTCCAAACTTCTCCATGGGGGTTCTGGAGTGGGCAGCTACTCCACGTCAGCGTTCCAGCAGCTGTTCAGAGAGCCGTAAAGGGGGATAGAAGCGAGGCAGAGAGGGCTGTCAGACCGCAGGCCGCACACTGGGTCCACCCAACGGTCCGGCACCGGACGCAGGACACGGGGTGGCCAGGCAGAAGCGCTGCGGGTCCAGGCCAAGGGTGGGGGCCAGTACCCCCTTGGGAGGCGGGGCGACGCTGATCGCCGCGGCTCTCCAGTGCTGGCCCAGCAGCTGCTCCGCCCTCGCCGCTCCGCTGGCCACCGCAACCCGGGCCCGCCCCTCCGCCCAGGTCTTAGGCAGCAGTGGGTTCCATAACGACTTCTTAACAACTGCGGCCAGTGCACAGTGACGCTTCCAGGTCGGCTGGAAGTGACGACATTATACGCCACAGACTCCGCCCCCAGCGGAGATGGGCAGGATTTCCTCAGTCCTGCTAAGAAGGCTCCCTGTTGAGGACCCAGACCCGCTCGTTGGGAAGAGCAAGCTGGCGAGAGTCCAGGGTTTAGTGGTAGTGAGCCGGGGTTTAGTGAAGAAGCCTAACTTTGCCCTCCGACTGCCACCAATGAGCGACAGAGGGCGACGTCGCCCTGTGTTTTCCCCAAACACCCAGAAGGATGCTCTACTATTTGGAGCAATGTCCAACATGTCCCTAAAAGACAACAGTTAAAACTTCTAATATACCAGGAAAACGCACCCAACACTTAGCACATAGCATAATAGTACCTTCCTTAGTTCTGCTTCTAAAGGGGTACTATATAGCCATGAAGTCCATCCTGGATGCCAGCATATGCCAGAGCGCCTCATAAAAGATTTTGCTATTTGATTTTTGCAAAATTCTGTTCAGAGGGTATCATTAAGCACATAAAGCATTACTTTACAGTTATGTGAACATACAGCACAGAGAAAAAACATGCCCAACGTCATATAGCTACTAAATTTAAGAATCCTATCTCGGTCTGCCTCTCAACATAAGTGCTATGCCAGCCTTTTCCCCCAAGGAGCCCACAATCCAGTGAGGCATCAGACATGCAAACAAGTAGATCCTGCTCTCACACTGGTCTAGTAGAAGTGGCATAGAAGAGGCAGGAGGCCTGGCTAGAGGAGACACAGAGGCTGTTAGAGAAAATACTTTGGGGTTTGAAGAATGAATGATGACTGCCCACCTAACTGCAGATATGGGACAGCAAGCATCAAGACCAGTGGAAAAGATTCTAAGATTCTAAGAACCTTTTGGGGTATCAGTGTCCCTGACTTTCCCAGAAAGCATTAAGAATCATTTCAAGCAGTAGTTTATGGGAGAGAGGTGACAACGGACACGCTGAAACAAACACATTAAAAGATTTTAATATCCAGCACTCGGGAGGCAGAGGCAGGCGGATCTCTGTGAGTTCGAGGCCAGCCTGGTCTACATAGTGAGTTCCAGGACAGCTGGGGCTACAGGGAGACCCTGTCTCAAAAAGACCAAAAAAAAAAAAAAAAGATTTAATATCAAGAAGAGGATACTATCAAGATTTGTGTGGGGCCTGCCACCAGGTCTAACAGACGTGAGTTTAATCAACCAGGACCCACATAATGGAAGAGAACTGACTCCCACTGGTTAACCACGCGCATCCACATACAAAATAAAAATGAAAACATTTTTATTGGCTTCTACACACGCATCCACACGCAAAATAAAAATAAAAACAAATGTTTTTTAAAACCTTGGAGATACCAAGGGGCCTGGAGGTCTGTGAGGAAGCTCTTTAAAACACAGAAAGAGACAGTAGTGAAATACAACAGTGAGGCAGAGACTGTTACTATATTAAAATTCTTCTTGGAAGGCCAAGGCCGTGGAAGCTCTGTGAGTTCGCGGCCAGCCTGGTAGAGGTCCAGGTCAGCCTGAGCTACACACCCGAGACCCTGTCTCAAAATCCAAAAGTCACCAAAACAAAGAGGATAAACTACATTGAGAATCTTTTCAATGAGCTCTTCGGTCTTGTCAAAGACCTTAGGAACGCAAGCCTATGACCGACGAGCAAAGCAAAAGTGCGCATGCACTCTAGCTGCGGGGCAGTCAGGCCTCCGTAGGCTTCAACCTTTCCGCTAGCGCGATGTGGGCGGAGCTGGGGGGGCCGGGCCCAGAGGGGGCGGGGCCACGTGACGTCGGGCGGGCCCTGACGCGCGGAGGCGGTGGCGGCGGCGGCACCTCCTCCTTCTGCTGTTGCGCCCCATCCCCCCGCGGCCGGCCGGTTCCAGCCCGCACCCCGCGTCCCTGCCCGCGCCCCCGCCCCGGGCCCCACCATGGGCCTCACGGTGTCCGCGTTGTTTTCGCGGATCTTCGGGAAGAAGCAGATGCGGATCCTCATGGGTGAGGCAGATCGAACGTGCGGCCCGACTGGGGGCACCGGCCGCGCCGCAGCCCTCCACCCCCGCATCCCTCCAGCCGAGCTCACCTGGCACCCTGACTCCCAGACCCCCACCCCCAAAGCCTCCCGGGCCTCGGCTATCAAGCAGGCCGGGATATGCAGTGTCGGCCCCGGGTCTGAATCCCGGAGCTGGGGCCTGGGTGGGGTGAAGCTTCCTCCGCCCCAGCCCGGCTGCTCAGAAGGGAGGATTCCGCCCTTGGAGACGACTTTTAAGAGGAGCGCGGCCTTGCTCCCGTGCCCCTCACCCTCCAAGCCCCTCTCGCCCCTTGCCCACTTAAGGTGCAGGAGTTGGCACCCACCACCCAGGCTGCCCTCCAGGCCCGGAAGGTAGAGAACAGCGCGCACCTGGAGGCGCTCCCGCTCTCCGCCCCCATCACCATCAACTGGCCGGCCTCTCCCTTTCCCTGGTCTCTAGGGGGCTCTCGCTCCCATCTCCATTCTGTGCCCCTCTCCGTTGCAGTTGGCTTGGATGCAGCCGGCAAGACAACCATCCTGTACAAACTGAAGTTGGGGGAGATTGTTACCACCATCCCCACCATAGGTGAGCCCGGGGACGAGGCAGGAGGTGGCAGGAGCGCCGCAGCGGGCCTTGGGACCAGTTGTGCCTAGGCCCTTATCAGGTGCTGACCCTGACACCAGATACAGCTACTTGAGAAGTGGGTCATGGTATCTCTGCCTGCCTGATGGTGCCAGAGGCGGGGAGGGTGAGCCTAGCCCCGCCCTATGTGTTGACCTCCGGTCGTTCAGGGTTCTATTTCCCCTGGCCTTGGTCATTACCTTCTGGTTTTGTGACCCTGTGGGATCTGAGTAGTTTTAATGAGTTCTTTCAGAACTTCTTTTCTTTTTTCTCCCCTAATTCTCTGCAGGCTTCAATGTGGAAACAGTAGAATATAAGAACATCTGTTTCACAGTCTGGGATGTGGGAGGCCAGGACAAGATTCGGCCTCTGTGGCGGCACTACTTCCAGAACACTCAGGTGCAGTGGGGATGGAGTGTGGGGGGACTACCCCGGAAAAAGGTGTTAGGACCAGGACTGAGCTGTTGGCTAAGTCCAAGGCCCTCAGGCCATGAAGGCCCCACCCCCACCTGCTTTACTTACCTTTATTCATCCTTAAGGATTTCCCTTAGCCTTGTCTGAGACTTCACCACCTTGGACTTCTGGAATATAGGGTTCAGGGGTCACATAGCCTGATTTAGGTCTCAGCTACAGTTTTCCACATCTTTTAGTCTGCTTCCTTGGTCTCTTTTGCGGTGGTGTCTCTGCAGAGCCGTAATGGACGCTTACTAGATGACACTAGGTTACTAGGTTGACACGACTAAAGATGGGAGAAGAGCAAATAAGCCAGCTTAGAGCAGGACCCGGGTAGAAGTGATCCCTTCTTGTTCCTTTCTTCCTTCCCACCCAGGGTCTGATCTTTGTGGTGGACAGTAATGACCGAGAGCGGGTCCAGGAGTCTGCTGATGAACTCCAGAAAATGGTGAGTATCTAGATCCTGGGAACTAAGCCCTTGGCTTGGGGCTAGAGAGCTCTTTGTGGGAGTATGAAAGTCTAAACACCCTGTGGGTGGGGAGTAGTACAAGTCCTGTTTGGGACAGGATTGACCTTTTCCATTCTCATACCTTTACACCTGAGCCTCAAGAGTTGGGAGGGAAGGAGGGGATTGTATATGGTAAATAGAAACAGCAGCTCACATTCTTAACTATTTGGAAATTTTGTCATTTTTACTTAGGGCAGGTCCTCAGAAGGACTTCTCTGGAAGTAAAGTTTAGGTGGCCTTGAGCTCTTCTCTAACTGTCTTAGATATGCTGTCTTTTTCTTACAAAGAACCTGACAAGTAGAAAGAGGGATTCTTCAACAAAGCAGTCAGGAAGGTGCCTGGGGACCCCTTGGAACCACTGGTACCACCCTGTTTCCTCCCCTCTCAGTTGCAGGAGGATGAGCTGCGGGATGCAGTGCTGCTGGTGTTTGCCAACAAGCAGGACATGCCCAATGCCATGCCTGTGAGCGAGTTGACTGACAAGCTGGGGCTTCAGCACTTGCGCAGCCGCACGGTAAGGGTCTTGCCCTCTTTGTACTGGGCCTTCCCTTTCCTTGGGAGCCATGGCTGGGGCAGCTGTATAAATGCACCCCTTTTCTTCCCTACTGCTGATTTCTTTATCTTTCTCCCTGCAGTGGTATGTCCAGGCGACCTGTGCCACCCAAGGCACAGGCCTGTATGATGGGCTGGACTGGCTGTCCCATGAGCTATCAAAGCGCTAGCCAGCTAGGGGCAGGCCCCTGCTGCCCGGAAGCTCCCGCGTGCATCCCGGGATAACCAGACTCCCGGACTCCTCAGGCAGTGCCCTTCCCTCCCACTCTTCCTTCCTACAGACAGGCCTCTGCTCCTGCTCCTGCCTGCATGTTCTCTCTTGTCGTTGGAGCCTGGAGCCTTGCTCTCTGGGCACAGAAGGGTCCACTCTCCTGCCTGCTGGGACCTGTGGAAGGGCTTCCTGGCCAAGGCCCCCTCTCCCAGAGGAGGAGCAAGGATCTGGATTTCATTTTGTTTTGTTTTGTTTTCTGTTTTGGGTGTACCCTTGGGGCCAGGTTGGGAGGGAGAAAGTGAGGGCTCCGGGTGGTGCTATGATGTGGAACTGGATATTGAGTAATAAATTTGCTGTGGTTTGTACTTGGTGTTATTTGTAGCCTGGAAGTGGGAGGCTGGGCTATTGGGTATAAAAAGACATTATGGGAGAGGCTCAAAGCAGCTGAGCTGTAGGGCCAACACACTGACACATGAACCCTTTTTCTTACTCAGCTTCTCTCTCCTTAATTGTGGACTGGAAATCCAAAATCCCATTCCTTCCTAGACTCTAAGGAACGCTATTTTAGGGTGTCAGAACCTACCTTTATCATTCCACAAGCCACTGAGCTCCTCTCCCCATCTTTTAGCTAGCTACTTAGTTCTTCATAGGAGTCTTGCACACGAGGAAGAATGTACATTAAAAAAGATAGATCCCAAGACACACTTCAGAAAAGTGATTGATGAGGTCTAGTCTGAGTCCCAACAACATGCATCTTTAAATTATCTGAATGGTTCCAGCTCTGGTCAGGATCTATTAGCCTTATTTGGCAAAACACTGGTGGAGCCTGAGGGTCACAATCCCTTGTGAGGCACCACTGGAACTCTGCTGGGAAGACCCCATCTATGCCGAATGAGGGACACGGCTGTGAGTCATTCCCCAAGCAGGGTTGTCTGGCAGCTTCCTGGCAGATCCCAGCAAAGTTTTAAACAAGGCCCACTGTCACTACCATCATTCCTTTTGTTTATCTTCATTTCATGTTTTCAGTTTCTCCAGGTTCTGGTTGGGATTTCCTTGAGCTTTGTAGAAAGTGATGGAACAGAGACTGTTCGGAGAGGAGAGGCTGGTATCTTTACTGGCAGCTCTGGCTTTCTGTCTAGCCAGTGACCTACCCACCAGCAGTACGGCTGGGGATTGGCAAGGAGCAGTGCTGGGACTCCATCCAGGCTATTCTATCTGAGCCAAGCCCTCCAGGATAATATGAGTGCTTTGGTCCTTTGTGGTTGTCTATCTAGTTTGCACTCCTTCCCTACAAAGTAATTTCCAAAATATTTTGACCCTGTCTTCCCCAAAGCCCTAGAAACAGATTTTCCTTGGCTATCTTGAACTTTAAAAAAAAAAAAAAAAAAAAAAGGAAAGGAAATTTGAGCCACAGGAAAGCCAAGCAGAACTCACTTGCTAGGAAGTAAAGAGCTTGGATTCTTATCTTGTTAAATAGAAAAGTAAAGAAAGGAAGGGACAAGTCTAAAGTCACAGGTTGCAGTACTGATTCCTAGTCTGAGCCTACCTCATTGTCTGGAGTTAGCAGAGAAGACAAATGCAGAGAAGACATCCTCTAGACTGGATTAATGTTGCTAGGCCAGTGCCCTTTCCCCAGTGTGGTGAGATAAGAGGCAGCCCTTACAGTCACAATGCTCCCGGGTCACAGAGATGCTGGGCTCTAGGCTAGCTTCTGCCTGGCAAGTTCCTCTGGGAACATCTTCTGGTGGGTACTATAGGCCTTATTCCAGGCCATATGGCCTGTGGGGCCTCACCACTGGGAGTAAGGCAGGGCCGGACAGAGTCATCATCTCTGGCACCGGCCCCATGGCTGATTTGGAGTGGATACACAGACATCCAAAGGCCGAGGACCTAAGGGTTGGGCTCATCAGCTGGGCAGGAACCTACCTCACCTTTGAAGCGTGTAAGAATAGAGTCACAGCTACTGCAAAGAGTTTGGGCAGGAGACAGGTAACGAGGCCAACTTGGACTAGACTTTAAAACTCTGTGTGTGTGTGTGTGTGTGTGTGTGTGTGTCTTACACTCTCAGCCTAATCACTCGCTTAGTCTCTGCTGTTGCCAGACTAAGACACTTTTACTCCAGGCTTTGCTCCTGGATCTGCACTGCTCCAGCTCTCAAAAATGTTTTCCTGAGATGAAATCTCACTGCTGGCCTGGCCGCTTCACCCTCTTCCAGTATTTCCTACACTCCATCCTAGGGCAAGGTGGTTGTGTCATCACAAAGAGGAAAGTTGGGGAGCCCAGGCTGGAAGGCAGAACTGGGCATCCAGGGGAAGCTGGACCATAGCGCAAGGCCTGTGTTTCTGATCCATTTTAGAGGGGAGCATCAGCATCTCTGTAACAGATGACTGAGTGAAGCAGGAGCAAAGTCCTCTCTCATAAACCAAATTTATCACAGTGAAACAAACAATTGTATCTCAACAGTCTATACCCTGGAGTAAGGCTGCCTATTAGAGTGCTTTCTTTGAGGGCCGGTACTGAAATATGTGGAGTATGTGCTATCCAGGAGCAGCAGAAACATGAAGGAATTTTTTATTTATTTATTTTTTTTTATTTTTATTTATTTATTTATTTTATTTTATTTTATTTTTTTATTTTTTTTTTGGTCTTACTGAGACAGGGTCTCCCTGTAGGTCTAGCTGGCCTGGAACTCACTATGTAGACCAAGCTGGGCTCGAACTCAAAGAGATCTGCCTACCTCTGCCTCCCCAGCACTGAGATTAAAGGCATGTGCCACCATACCCAGCAAAAGAAGTTAATCTTAAAGGAAAGTGCTTTTTAAAAATAAAAATAAATTATTAAAGAATGGGAGCAAGGGAGAGAGTGCAATTTAGCTCCTATTAACTATAGAATTGCTCATTGGGTGTTTTTTTAAAGACAGGGTCTCACTATATAGCCCTTGAATGATCTGGAACTCACTATGTAAACCAGGCTAGCCTCAAACTCAGGGATCTGCCTGCCTCCACCTCCTAAGTGCTACGATCAAAAGCATGCACCGCCCCACAGGGTTCATTGGCTCTTTTTTTTTTTTTTGCGGGGCAGGGGGGGGCTCACGTACATGCATGCAGAGGTCAGAGGACAACTTGCAGGAACTGGTTCTCTCTTTTCCCCTTACTGAGACAATCTCTCTTATTGTTTCTGCTCACACTGGGGCATCTGGCTGGTGAACTTCCATCTCATCATAGCAGTGCTAGGATTGCAAATTACATTGTGTGTGTTTATGTGCCTCTGTGTGTGTGTGTGTGTGTGTGTGTGTGCATATGTGTATGTAGGGTGCACATATGCTATGACACATGACACATGTAGATCAGAGAGGACAACTTGCAGGAGTCAGTTCTCTCCTTCCACCATACGGGACCCAGGGATCAAACTCAGATAGTCAGGCTTGGCCGCACACACCCTTACCTGCTGAGCTATTTCACCAGCCTGCGTTCAGCACTTTTCATGTGAATTCCAGGGATCAAACTCAAGCTACCAGGCTTTCATGGCAAGCACTTTTACCCACTGAGCCATCTAGCCAGCCCTCATTGCATCTTAAGGAGCCTTATGGCTGTAGCAGTGGAGCAGCCCAGAAATCTTTTGATTATGCTAGTTAAGAGGGTGGAAACATTCATAGCAAGGAGATGCCAGGGAAGATGTGGAAAGGAGGGTGGTTGGTCTTGGTGAAGGTGCTGGTGGTGCCAGGGGTGGCAGTTTGCAGGTCTTCAGCCCATAACTTGCTGGCATTCATAATCCTCTTCTTCCTCCAGAGCTGGGAGCTCCTGGTGAGCAATGAGCTTGATGCACAGGCCGTGGTGCGGCTAAAGAGCTTGCAGGGCCTCTACCTGCTGTGTGAAGCAGATGGCACTGTGTGTTACGGCAGGCCAAGAACTAGCCACCACGGATGCTTCCTGATCCGTTTCCACCGGAACAGCAAATGGACCCTCCAATGCATAATCTCTGGTCGTTATCTGGAGTCTGATGGTGAGGATGTATTCTGCAACTCCAGGGTCCTCTCAGCTTACCACATGTGGACCCCCCGGCCAGCCTTGCATGTCCATGTGATCCTCTACAGCCCCATCTACCGCAGCTATGCCCGGGCTGACCATACCGTGGGCCGAATCTGGGTAGATGCAGCACTTCCCTGCCTAGAGGAATGTGGTTTCCTATTGCATTTTCAAGATGGATGTTATCACCTGGAGACCTCTACACACCACTTCTTGTCCCGAGTAGACCGGCTGGTCCCTCAGCGCTCATCACAGACAGCTTTTCACATGCAAGTCCGGCCTAGAGGGATTGTGGCACTGTGTGATGGAGAAGGGGGCACATTATATCCACAAGGCTCACGTCTACTCCTGGGCCTGGGCTCCAGTCCCATGAGGGGTGAGGAGTGGTTCATCCTACAGCACTTCCCAACCTGGGTCAGCCTAAGGTCAAAGTCTCGGCGATTCATCTCAGTCGTCTATGGCAAGTGCTGCGTTCAATATCACCATGGAGGGAGGAAAGACCAAGTACTAAAGAGAAGAAATTGTATTCAGGACCAGCAAGAGTTCTTGTATCTAACTTATAAGGAAGACTCTGGGGCCCCAAGGGGATGACTTGAGAAAGATTGACAGTTAGAGATACGGGCTTTAAAGGAAAGTCACCTGGGTCTTCTCCAGATTATTATGGTCTAGCATAGGGTTGAGGAGGGGAAAATACAGGGAAGCCCAGCAATAAGCATGAAGGAGGGCTAGGACTGAGGGTAAAGCCAGGCTAGAATTCTGTTCTTTTGTACCTCCTCTGCAGATGCTGAGGTGTGTGCTGCCTCTGAGCGCTTGACCCCAATGTCCTTGTACCAGTATGAGTGTGACACAGAAAGTCCCACCTTACAACTTCGTTCAGCCAATGGTTACTACCTAGCCCAGGTGAGGCTCTGATGTTCAGTACAAGAAATGGTAAGAGCTGAGCACTCCTCATCTAGACAACACTTTCTCCTTCTCCAGTATGTATGGCCAGAAAAATTAGGTGAGCTGTGCAGACCCTACCTGATAAACATCCATTTTCACCCAATGGACCTTCTTTTATTTAAAAAAAAACTATTTTATTGAGGCATAATTTGAACAAAATGAAAATTACATGATATATATTATACACATTGTGTATATATGAACAAGTTATATGAATAAATTGCACTTGTGAAATTCAGTATGCTTCAACAAATGTATACAACCATGCCACAGTCATACCACAAATTAGAGACTATTTCCACCACCATAAAAATTCCCAACTGCCCCCTTTCTCTCTATCCTTGGCCCTCTTACACCACTGGCCTGGTCTGTGGTTGTTCTGACATTATGGATTAGAT